AAAAAAAAAAAAAAGATAATACCAAAACAAGTTCAAAGGTAAGATTTATTATTAAAAAGAATAACATAATTTTTTTTTGTATATCTATGATGAACAAGTTTCCAAATCTTAATAATATCATCAACTTTATTTATTAGTCTAAGTTCTTTTAAAAGTATTAATAGAATGTCAATACTATCTTCTGCAAAATTAGTATTAGGTAATTCAATCTAATTCTCAATTTCAAAGACATGATTCTTATCAACTTGTTGTAGTAAATACCAAATAGCTTGTAATATTTCTTGTTGTTGCATAGAGATAGTAGCAGGAATTAAATAGTTAATGATATATTTATCAATAACAGATGAAAAATCATAATATGAATATATAAGTGTTGAACTAGTAATGTAATAAGCCTAATTTTTATATTGTATTGTAGTAGACATATAATTAAATTATAATTCAATTTTTTGAAATAGGTCTAAAATAGATATATGACTATTAATAGCACTTTTAATTATCACATTTTGTTTTTCTACTCTATGCATAGTTTGAATTCCTTCTGTAAAAATATGTAAAGTATAAGCTAATACCTATTTATATTTTTAAGTACCAAGTACTCTATTAAGATATAATTCTGAGGCAGAATACTATTAGAGTAAAGAGTCCTAGAGATAGTCAAATTCTATTTGAGATAGAGTATTTCTTATTTTATACTAAGCTTTAATAAAGTTATTATATTCTAAACCTAATTTAGACTTTAAATTCTTTAATAAATTCTGTCCAATATAATATATACAATGTATATAATAGGTATTAGGTATTAAATTTGCAATAGCAGCATCAATAGCAAGGTTATTGTCTGTTATAATAACTGTAAGGAAAGTGTTTGTTCCTTTAACAAGAGAACTTAATACTCATTCAAAACTCCCTAATGTTTTATCAATCATTAATGTTTGGCTAACTAACTGAGACTGATTATTATTATCAACAATAACAAAAAGTCTAAGTGCCATTTTAAATCTATTAGTAAAATAAGTATAATCATATTGGACTATATTACTATATTGTAGATAAAGTTTATATTGTTCTGATGTCATCTAGAATAATGAGACTAAAGAGTTGATTGTTAGATCTATATGCCAATTTATAGTTTACCTAATATCCTCAGCTTTATGTTCAATAAGCTTATTAATTAATATTGCAGCTTCATAAGCAACCTTTTGTTCTATTTTAATCTTTTGAATAGTATTTGACAAGTCTTAAGATAAGAAAAAAATATTTTCATATTTCACTTCAAGTAATTGACATTGTGTATACATACTAAGATTCCCTTTTGTTATCCAGAATTTGATATCAGCTAATATTAGCTCAGTTAATATTCATATATAACACCAAATTTATTAGCAAAAAGATCTAAAGAATAGTTTCTATACTTTAAACTTATAGTAGTAATGCTGATAATGTCAGTTGACTTTAGGCATATAGAATTTATAAACTATAGGCATCTACTATGTTTAGAACATGTATTTCATTGTGTTTTAATAATCATATTTTTTTTCCTTGATAATTACTCTAATATTCATATTTATAATAATAATGCCTTCTTATTCTATTATTATATTCTGTTCTATAATAATTTTAGAAAAGTATTTAGAGTTATAATAAACATTGATATATTTGTCAAGTTCTGTTCATAATTCAAATCATATACTAGGCTTTGAGGTTTCAGATATATTAATAATATTATTAGAGTTTTGAATAGATAGATTAATCAAATTATTTAGGGTTTGTTCAGGTATATTAGGGATCTGTATTGGTAAAGGAGCAGTATTTATAGGTGATAATTCTAATTATTTATTATAATAATTCAGTACTAGTAATAATTTTAATTGTTCATTATAAAAATCTAGTATCAGTGAGTTCAAGCTTAAATTATCTAATTGTTCATTGTAACTAGGCAGAACTGGTAAATTCAGAGTTAAATTATTATTAGTTATTATTAATGTTTAGATCGAACTATTATAATAATGAGATAAGTAAATTATTATTAATATCAATATTTTAAATACTAATTTAATTCAATTACTTGAAATTCAAAACTAGTTTTGAATTTCAAGTAATTAAATAGGTCTACAACTATGCTTTACTTAATATTAACTTTGTATCATATATATATTTGTTTTGTATTATTAATACTTAATTAGAACAGTTAGAACTAATAATATAAATAGAGTAAGTAATCAACATTATATAATTGTGTAATATTTATTAAATGAGATTTCTAATAATATATTTTGTTTTATGTATTTTTAATAACTAAGACAACTAAAATACAATCTAATAACAATAAAAAACTAGAGTAGTAATCTAATAATTTTATTGCTAAATATTTAATTAATAAACTTACTAATAACTTACCTTCTTTAGATATATTTATAGCTAAAACAAATGGGATAGCTAATAGGATAGCTAATAAGACACAAAACTATACTATCATATTCTATCTTTCGCAATTAGCAAAAAACAATATTACCTTATCTAATTTCTCTCAAATCTCCACATATCCTCCAACAATTCCAGAAAATTCACCTCTTATCTATGAAATACTCCCTACAAATCCACATAGTCTAATTACTAATAGTCTTAAAAACAACAAAATTCTTTTTATCGAACAAATTACCACAGCTGATAACAACTATTTTCTGCCATGGAATAATATCTACCTTCGAACAAACAAACCAATTAGAGGATGCACACCTAATTGGTTCAAACAAATCCTACAACTTATTCGTATTACAATTGTACATTATGATAATTGCTCTGAATATAACTAATAAAAGACTATGCCCTAGCGAACAAACAATCCCATGATGTGGTATCTATGTATGGTTCGTTGTATGATGTAAATGACAATATAATTTGTCTAAAAAAACTTCTAGTCTAACTGGAACATTATTTTTGCCTTGCAAATTATTGAACTACTATCTTAAATAATGGCTTTGAAAAGCTATATTTTCAGCTGACTTGTGTAATATATTTCGACGTTTACTATGGCCATAAAAATATCTCAAAACATGTAAAATATGAAGTAACTGCCATTTTGAAAGTTTATAGCCTTTTTCTTCAAGTTTTTGCTATAATACAGGTGTTCAAAGTGGAGTGCCAGAGGCGTTCATATGTATAACTAGGCTACGTATAACTTCTGCAATATCAGGATCAAATTCACTTTTCAGTCGACTGAGCGATTTATATACTATGAATTCTTTGTTTTCTTTTTTGTTTAATATAGCAACTACTCATACAACTATAGACTCACCAATCTCCAAAACTGTAGCAACAAGCTTGTGTAGTGGCATATCTTCTTGTTGCTTCTGACGTTATTAAAGCTCCAAAAAGTATTAGTAGACGTTAATAATCATCCTTCGTTCATTGAAAGTTAACAGACCTTTATCTCTTTTCAAGTTGTTCATTTTGTAAAAAAAAAACCAAGGTTTGTAAATAAATTTAAAGTTTATATATCACTCTTACCTTTTTTGTAATTTGTATTTCCACATGACTTAAT